CTGGTGAATCAGAATACATCTAATAAGGTACTACCCTTCCTGGAAGGGCAACTGAAAAAGAACAAAGCACTTTTGCTCTTTTCCCCGTTCTCTTGCTTGGAACTTTGACGCTGCTGCAGCCATATTGTGATCATGAGGAAAAGATGAGAGGGCTGGAAAGATAACCATAAATGTCTAGCCTTTGGTAGCTGTTCACCAAAGCTGTGAACATCCTTCCTCAAGACTGCTTTTTATGCAAAATAATTATATCTTTTTATGGTTTAAGTCACTGTTAGTTAATTACTCTAAAACTTGCAATTAAAACTATTCCTAACAGATACAGAAGCAATTGTTCAGGGAAAGCTTACATCACTCCCTCTGGAAGCAAGACTGAGGTGCAGAAATGTATTGCGGTGTCATTTACATGAGTAGTCTGTATGAAAGATTTGCTTTTAAACTGCCTATGTGATGGCTAATACCTTCTATTATGTTTGTAATCTTGAAGTCATGTTGGTTTATCTTTATTTTACACTAGAAGTCCTTTCAAATACAGTTTATTGTCCTGAGCATTTAGACATACAGGAGGAAGCCTCTACTTAATGAAGAGATGAGAGAGAGTGGATAAGCACTGTTTAGTGCACTGCCGACAGTTTATTACTGTGGTCTTCAGAAACTCATGTTCTTTACTGAGTAAATACATTTACCTAAAACAGGTTTATTGCTCCTGGGCACATAAATACCATTAGTGACAGCAGAGTTACACCTGGGAGAATGCATGGAACATATGGTCACAATTCGCCTACTGTTTCTGAGAAAGGAGAGAGGACACTTCTGTGGGAGAGACATATTTTTGTCTGACAGTGTAATTTACTAAAACACAAAGTACTTTGTCAGAACCTTTCACTGTGAGTCTAAGAAATTAATTAGTATAGTTCTCATTTGAAAGTTCCTCAAATAAATTACCGTTTATCTAATAGAAATACATAGCCTGTAACTTTCTTAGTTGATACAAAAGGTATGGTGCCTACTACTTTACATGGACATTCATGCTACTTCAAACATTGTAAGACTGCAAACTACTGAGCCAGCCACAGCCAGCTATATTCTCAGAATATAAAGTTGTTATGCAGAATGATGTGTCAAATTGACAATGTTTCATTATATGACCAAACTAAAAAATATTTTCATCATCTATATATATTCCAACCATAATATATCAAAAACAGTAATGACTTTTATTGAGCCTTCATGTAAATCAGGCTTTGCACTAGGCACTTGGCCTGCATTATCATCCTTTAAGACAACCTTAAAGAGTTGGTACTGTTTTTATTCACTTAGCAATGAGCAAAGAGGTCTAGAGAGGTTAGACATCTTCTCTGAAAAGATCACTAGTAATACAGGAGATATGGGATTTGAACTAGGTCAGTTTGACTTCAAATCTGGAAGCTCTTCACCACCACAACATTGGTTCTTAGGTTTCAGTGTGATAAGAACTTGGAGCTCTATTAATTGTGAAGATCTGTGGCCTGGTCCCCATTAGCTCTGACTTGAATGGTCTGGGGCTTAGGAACCTGCATTATTTCAGATATCCCAGGTGATTCTCATAAAGGTGGCTCAGAGACAATACCTTAAGAAACACAGCCTTATACTCCATTTAAAATCATGATGCGTTTGATACTTACAAGAAATATTGCTTCAAATTAAAAATGCAAAGTAGATATTTTGTTGTGAGAAAACATGTAACAAAGAAAAATAAATAATTCATTAAGATACATTTTCATTCTTCAGGAAAGAAGCATGATTAGTAATACTTTCTTATAACTACCAATGTCTCATTTTCTCCTAGGCCAGAGAGTCCACAATGAAAGGTAACAGCAGAAGTGTCTGATTTAAGAGAATGAAAACCTCCTTTACTTGCAGCTTAGAAAAGATTTCCCCCACACAACTCTTATTCTTATCAAAGGCCCACGATGGTAAACATATCAAGACAATTAAGCAGTTTGGGAAGACAATAAATACAGAAATGGGAAGATTATAAGTTATTCAGCTAAGAAATCAAAAAAGGCACTGCCCTATGTGTTGGCATACAAAGTAGTCAGTAGTCACTGTTTTTGGATTATCTTAGCAGTCAATCTGGGTAACTTAAGTATAAAGTTCAATCATCAATCAAATAGGTCAAGTCTTTTTGGCCCTGGACCATGGATGCTCAAGGCTAAACTGGCATTGCCTAAGTGATAATAATTAATTGATTCTCTGCCGTATCTGATCCCACCGCAGTAGGGTACTCCACCCTATCTGTCAACCTTTTTACTTATTCCTAGTTTACTCCCTGTCCTTTATCATAATAGCTATTTTCAATCTTTTTCATTCCTTTCAAGTTCCCAAACATATCCTCAATGCCTTCAATTACCATATGTAAACTTGTTTTTTATCCTAGCTATCCATGAGTTCTCTGTTTCCCTTCCTTCCACACTGAAATTTCTTAATATCAAGCATCTTTTCATAGCTTGTTAGATCAGGATAAGGAGATTCTTAACTAAGGCTAATTCCTCTACCTATGAATCTGATCCCTTTTGGGACCTCGTTCCATTCTCTGCAAGCCACTCCAGTCTCCAGCAGCACTCCAGGCACTCTGTTAGGCATCGGGAACACAAAGGTGAAAGGACAGGACCGTGCTTTGCAGCAGCTTCTGGGACAGTGTGGAGACAAACAGACTCTCAATAATCGGGAGCACAGTGACACAGGACCAGGGGCATAACAGAACTTAAGTTTAAGCAGCTGGAGACCAGGGGGCTTCCCCTAGGAAACAGCTGAGATTTAAAAGATAGATAAAAGTGAATCAGGTAGATGGGCAGAAGAAGTGAGAAGATATCAAGATTCAGAAGAGCATGGCACAGCCAAGCAACTATAAGTATTCAGCCAACGATGAAAAAACGCCCTCGGGAATTGGTGAAAAATACCACCGAGGAGTTTAGATTTTAAGTCTGAAATGAGACACTGACACTGTTATCAGATGTGTATGTTAATAATGCAAAATCAGAGATCAGTATCCTAGAAAGCAGGAGAGCTTAGTGATCTAGGTAGGATAATGAGTGCCTAGTTTGGAGTAAAAGTGGTAGAGATAGCAAAGTATGATGGATAAGACAGACATCTGAGGCCTGGTCCCCATTAGCTCTGACTTGGATGGTCTGGGGCTTAGGAACCTGCATTTATTTCAAATATCCCAGGTGATTCTCATAAAGGAGGCTCAGAGGCAACACCTTAAGAAACACAGCCTTACACTCCATTTAAAATCATAATGGGTTTGTATGTAGAACTTAATAATTCTGAATATCAGAAAAAAGAGAAAAGAGTGCAGGTTGAGCCCCAGGTTTCTGGCTTTGGAAACTTTCTAATGGCCATGTCATTCCCAGATAGTGCCTGGGCAGACTGAAATTATGAGGCACCCGAAAGGACATGTCTAAAAGAGAATTCGATGTGTGGGTATGGATGACATTCAGAGACGCTGGTTTGGGCATCAGCAGTGTAGGTATGCCAGTTGAAGTTGCAGTTTTGAGCAAGACTACCGAGGTTGAATATTGTAGAGAGAGAAAGGGCTGAGGAGGACCATTTAGGGTGCCAAAACCAAAGATCCCTTGAAAACAGCTGAAAAGAAAGGGCTAAATAACAACAAAGAGAATGGGAGTAGGACAGTATCATGAAAATTAGAGGACAAGACATTAAAAAAAGGAAATGAACAGTGCTGTCAAATGCTTCAGAGGAGAATTCAAGTATGGACTGAAAAAGCACCTGCTGGGAATGAAGTTGAAGGTGTCTCCCTCCAATTTATTCTGTTCCCTGCCTCTGGCCCTCATATTTACATCTCCTATTAAACAAATAACAACATTTGATACACACACACACACACACACACACACACACACACACACACACACTCCTCAGTTGAACCTACTTGTTCTCAGTATACTCTCCTTTCTTTAATCACGAATGCTGCCATTTGGCTACTTCTGCACTGAGTGTTCTATCTTAACAGTTGCCAGTGATACTCATTTTCCCCCACCAGTCACATTTTATTAATAAATGCCAACTCCCATGACCTTTCTTCAGACATTGTGCTATCTGATGGTTTTACCAATTTTACAATATTAAGTCTCCTTTTTTATATTTTCCATTGGCTATTTTCACCAGGGACTTGGTTCTCTTTAATCCTCTCAAGATGCTTTCTCAGTCTCCTATTGGGACTCCCCATTCTTTTTAATCTCCTTGAATAAAATTGTCCTCCAAGATTTGATCCCTAATTCTTTTCTCTATGAAATTCATATTTCCACCCCTTGGGCCATCTCACAAGTCACTAACATATAGAGGAACTTCTAAACATAATCCTGAACTAGATTTTCAAGTGGAATGCCACATATAAAAGTCCCTCCAAATTCAACATGCCCCAAATTAAAGCTGCTCCATTTATTTCGCAACCTCCCAAAAACAGGTCCCTATTTTCCTGCTCTGTCATTGATGCATCTCCTTCCCGTCTTTCACTTGCCCTCTATGCTCATCCTCAACTGGAAGTGTTCATTCTATCTCTCTCTGGTCCTTGTTTTCACATCATCCCTTTGATATGCAACATGGTTTGAATATAGGGGATCCAGATATGATGCAAAATTGCAATGGTTTATTTCCCATCATAAAATAACAACAGCAACCAACATTTATCTAGTCTTCACTATGTGTTAGATGCTATTCCAAGCACATCATATCTATTTCCTTTTACTCTGTTTCCCCTTCAATGAATTTAGAAGACTAAGATGGTTTATTCCTTTTCAAATTTGTCATATTTGGATTATAAACAGTCGGTGTGATATAACCAGTTTTCTGGGTGATAAAAAAACTAAGCATTGTGTAGTGAAATGTTGCTAATTCTTTAAATGCTGTTAATTTTCAAGGGTTAGCTCTTAGTCCTTTTCGTTTGGGAATGCAAATGCACACACTCTTGATGAATAAGAGACTATAACATATACACTTACCGCAAAAACCCAATCTTTGCAGAAACCTGTAAATCAGCAGAACAATTTTCATGGGTACAAAATCTTGCAAAGTTTATCTGGAAATAAAACGACAACATTTTAAATTTTAATCAGCAAGTATATTCATTCTTTTTTTAAAGATGACATCTGTGACCCATGAGAAAAATAAAACTAATACATCAAATTGACAACTCCTTATTTTATCTCTTTTAAAAAGTTCTATTTGAGAATTTGTAGGGTTCAAACAACAATTACTTGCAGGACTAAAAGAGCTAAGTTCTAAATAGGTAAAATTTAAAGCCCAAATTTTATAAGTGAAATAAGATTTGGAAAAAAAAAAAGTTAAATGAAAGGTATTAAAGGAGTATAGTAACTGGCAAGATGTTTTTCACTGGGTTCTTCTCAATTTTCTGGTGCTGCAGTTTGATCCCATTTATTACATGTAAGCATGGCACTTAATTTTTGCAGATGTCAGGACAGTGATTTTATATTCATTGAAATTAGCTACATGGAGATACTTAGAAAATTTACTTAGAGGAAATATTGAGCAAAATTAAATAAGGTTCAAGAATTTAATTAACTCTGAGCTTTTTAATAAGATCAATAAACACTACAAAGGATCTGGAAAGTCCCAAGAAAGAAGCTGGACAAAAGGAAAAAACTGGGAGAGATTAAATGAAGAGAAGATAATAGGAATAGGTAAAGGAGAGAGATGCAGGAAACAAAGAGAAAGGTAGAAAGTCAGAAGGAGCCAGGCTCATGAAGTGGGAAGTGTCTAGAGTACTGTCAAATAGTGTGCTAGACAAGAAAGTGCCCACACCTGGGGAAGCAGTGTCAATCTTTCTCTAAATAAATATGATTTTTTTCTGCCATTTCTATTTGTAAAGCAAGTTGTTTTAAGAATCAAAATATAAATTAATATAACTACAAATTGCTAAGGTTTTGGCTTGTGTACTTGCAATATTGAGATTTTCACTATTGAAGACATTTAAAAATAGTTGATGTTGAAAACTGAAGTTTAACAGAAGAGGAAAAACAACCCCTGACTTCCTTAAGTATTTTCATATGAGGCAATAGAGAAAAATCTGCTCTTAACTTATCTGCATTTGATCCTGTATTCTAGACTAGACTAGTGGTGACTGTAAGCTCAATTATCTTAAAGTGACTATGGGGCAATTTTGTCTGGACAGGATATGAACTAGACCTTTAAATGTCCCTTTCATCTTTTACATTGTGTGTGTCATTAGTGAACGTTTTAATGAAGGCTTTTTACCATGCCCAGACACATCCTGTTTTTGGACAAACACTATGTCTTTGTGATGACAGACAGTAAAGATCTGAACAAAAGGACTCCTGAGAGTAAATATATTGTCGGTGAAACCAAAATATTATGGGATAATTTAGAAAACAGTTCACCGGTTAGAAGGTAGGATCTATCTCAAATGCAATTGATCCTGGGATGTGGCTGAAATGCATATAATGAAAATTGAAAAAAAGCAATCATTGTATAACATAAATGCCTGTGTCTATAAATGGATAAAACTAAGCAAGGAAATTCGACTGTGAAGACATGAGGAAATCTGTTAGTAGGATGAGAGCAAGGGAGACAGGAAATGAGAAGAGGAAGATAAACTGAGGACACATGATGACACTGAATAACTAACTTACAAATATAACCTTCTCCCATTATGATTTCTCTCTAGTAGTATCAACTTTCTTCACTGGCAAGGGATCACAAACAGAACATTAGCATTTTATATATATGAGAATCTACTATTGTGACTAAATGCATATTTTAAAATACTCAGTTCAATATCCTAAACGGAATACAAGCAATTTTTAAAAATAGAAAATAAGACATATAAATCTTTGTTTTTAAAAATTCATAAACGTTTCTACAAAAATTCAGACATATAGCTCACTTCTTCAGAATTATACCATATTCAAAAAATTTAGCTATATGCCACATAATAATTCGAATAAAGGAAAATATTCCTACCATTTTTTTAATCAGGTCTTTTTCTTTCTTCTGCTGAAGAATTGGCTGAAGTGGTGGGAATTCCTCTGTGCCTCGTTTACTGATGATGTGATGCCCAAGGTGGTAAGCAGCTTCAATTTGAATCGGGGTGAGGATGTCCCGCACGTCTTTCTAAGGAAAATCACAACCATATGCATTAATAACAAAAACAAGCATGTAGATTAAAAAATATAAAACTCCTTTCCTGCGTAAGACCAAGCACTACGCATGGAAATCAAGGCAAATACTTACCTCTTATCTAAATTGTTAAAAAAAATTGAAGATGTATTTTATCACAAAATCACGTACGTTTCTTATGAAAAACACAAAAAGAATAAAAATGCAAAATAAAACTATCCAATAATAGTTACAGACGTCTATACTTGGGAATATTTTCTTCCATGCTATTTTCTATGCATAAAAATACTTGATATTATAACATAAGCATTTTTCATGGTAAACCTTTTGTAAATAATTTCAAAGTGCTAATCATGTTATTCCGTTTAACATTACCCTATGCGTTTTCAATGTTCTCAATAACATTTTGGTAGATTCATTTCACTTCAGATATATTATAAAACATCCTTTAGTTATTTCTTTTCTTTTCTTTTTTTTTTTTTTTTT